GTCTCAGAATTTTCCACAATGAGCTAAAAATTTCCCAAAGAATTCAGTTGTGTCTAAAATTTGTCAAAAATAACAAAAACTGGCCCAAAATGAGTCAAAACGTCTCCACAGTCACTGAAAAACATCCCCAGATCCCTTCCAATGTGCTCAAAGTGTGTCTGGAGTTGTCGACACTGAAGTTGCTGCTGATGGGCTGGTGCATGAATGAGTGATGAGAAAACACTGTGAAGTGGTTTGAGGAGCACTAAGGTAGAACGGAGACGGATGAGTGCAGAACATTTACTTTTAAAACTCTCAGAAATGAAATAAACATTTCCACAAGGATTTAAAAATAGACATAACTGCTCACAGCGACTCGTTTGTGCCCAAGATGTCTCAAAGTTTGACAAAAATTCAGCAACACATTGTCCACAGTGTCCAGATGTTCATGTGAACCAGGATGTATGTTGTTTTTATCTCTTGTGTGTTTTATTGCTTATCTTACTGATCTTGTTGTTTCGGTGTGGAACACTGCATGTTACACCAGGTATAACTGTGTTTGTGACCAACAGAAGACCTTGAATCCTTGAATCCACGGTGGATCCACGTCCCTCTGTCTGCCAGACCCTCATTCTCTGAACGGCTGTTGTCGATCAGACCTCCTGATTCGATCACCTTTTGTTCTCTGACCTCCTGTCACTGATTATCAGCTGTATACTCACTGCAGGGTTCACTTTGGTTCAGCCCCTCCCTCCCCCCGACAGACACAACCTCCACCGTACATGGAACAGTAATGAACACCCACGACAGCAAGCGTCACATGAGGACTGAGGGAACATTTCTCCTACAGACCCCAGTGGACTCGTCTCCAGTCGGGGATTGTAACTAAAAGTCCTCCTGGCTGCTTGATCCTAATCACTCCAAAATGCCCCGAATGACTCCAGACCTGCCACGCTGACCTGAAGCTCTTCTCAAGAGTCAAAAACTGTTTTTTGTTCATTGTCCAAAATGATGTGGATGACTGAGTGGATCCATGGCCCTGCTAGTGAAGCAGGGAGGAGGCAGCATCATGACAGGAGCTGCTGATGAGGTTCAGGAGGCACAAACTAAACTGGCCTGATATTTGTCCAGAATGACTTCAGACTGCTCAAAGCAGCTTTAAATTGTCAAAGATGAGTCACACGATGCCCAGATGAGCTACACACGGTCCAGACCGACCCGTGTATCATCCAGAACCCAAAGACTGAACCATGTGTCCTCCTGGTATTCTGAAGAGGCAGAAGCCAGAGTGGCGTGTTGTGAACTTGACATCCAAGTAACGGAGGAAATGCGCATTTTACGCATCTCCATGGAGTCTCCGAGGACTCGGTACCAGAGCAGCTGGTCACTGATCGAGTCCCTGCAGCAGAATAAACTTTATCTCCGGTGGGGGGAGGAGCGGATCTCTGATCCTGACCCAGCGCTTCCAGACTCGGTGCGCACTTTCCCTGCAGATCTCCGTCATGGCGGCTCAGACTCGAGCTCTGGTCTCCGCTCAGTGGCTCATTAACGCCGTCAGAACCAACCAGGTGGGTCCGAAGCTGCGCGTCCTGGACGCCTCGTATCACCTGCCGCACATGAACCGGGACCCCAAAGCGGAGTTNAAAGACTGAAGGAACCAAAGAAACTCAGGAATGAAGGATGGACTCACTGGTTGGTTTGAGCTCCTGCTGTGGAGCCTGAGTTTAATATGTGAATGTGACATCGGAGACAAAACTCTAGGACCTTGTAACGTTTCAAATGTCATGAAAGGTTTGTAACAGCTGTTCTAAGTGTTTCTGTAAAGCTGGTAGTGTAACTTGCTCCTTGTTGTGTGCAGATGTGGACCTTCTGCTGAGGTCAGTGTGCTTCTTGTTCCAGCAGCTGTTCTGTAACATCAGATCTGAAGTAACGGGAACAAGACCATCATCTCAGATCACCACATGTGAAAGTGTTTCTGCTCGACCATCTCGGAGTCTGAAAACGTTGTTACAACACAAAGTGGATATTTGTAAAGACAGATGTGAACATGCACCTGCATGTTTCAGGTAACAATCACCTGTTGACCCACTTCCAGCAGGTTCTGTCTCACACTGAAGTTTGAGTCTGAACAACAACATCTGATGAAAACCTGAAATGTTCTCTGTTGTTTCTCATCACGTCACTGAGTCAGAACCTGTGATGTGGGACAAAGTGATGAATGTAGTGTTTTGTTAATGTGAGCTGAAAGGTGGAGCTTCATGACAGCTTCAGGGTTGTTTCTGTTCCTCAGACGTTGTTGTTCAAAAGTGGGCCGACGGGTCGTTTCTTATCTGACAGCTGCATCAGGCTAAAGTTTCACAAATGTCTTTAGAAATATCAGTTCTATGTGATGAAAAGTTTCAAACAGACCAGAGCTGGTCCAGCAGAAGTCTGCTGATGATCTGAGACGGAGTAACACGTTCTCCATCTGAGGTCGGGGGTTTGAGGAGATTCAGGCTGTTTGTAAAGCTGTAAACTACGAGTTGTCCACGAGGAAACAAGACGACTAAAACTTTAAAGTCCTGTCACGACGTGTGACCTAAAACTGCAGCTCTGTCGTCTAACCAGCAAACGTTTCAAATTAAGGCCACCAGTTGGTATCCTGGAAACCAGCAGCACCATCGAGCTCCCGTCAGCTGA